GGGTTCTCAATTCTATTGCATTGATCTATGTGTCTGTCATTGTACCAGTACCATGCTGTCTTGACTACCACGGCAGTGTAGTAGGATTTTAAGTCAGGGAGTGAGATGCCTCCTACCGTTTTTCTATTTTTAAGGAGTGCTTTGCTTATTCGTGGCTTCTTTCAAAAGGGCAATTTTTAAAGAAACACTTCACAAGACACACAAATGGCCAATAAACATAGGAAAGAATGCTCAGCCTGACTGGTCATTAGGGAAATACAAGTTAAACCCATATCAAAACCACTGACAATACGAAGGGTTAGGGAGCAAGCTAATGTCTCAGACATTGCTGGTTTGAATATATACTGGTACAAAACCAGGAATGGAATGTTCTGTATCTCCAATTATATACATGCATCAACTCACTGAAGTGTACACTGAAAATGGGTACATCCTGTTTTATATACTCTTCTACAGAATTGATTAAAAATAAACTGTATTAGTCTTGAGATAATGAAATATGATAGCAACTTTAGGGAAACATGTTAATAGGTCAAATGTACAACACAGTAAATAACAAAATCAGAAAACAGTACCTATGTTCTTTAAGGAAAAAAAGTCTATGGATCAGCATTATGATTTTTTAGGAACTAGCAAGAAAATTCGAAGACAAGTTCATTGGATAACTGCATACAGGAGCCCCTAGGATGTAAAATTTGCTAAGCCCTGGACCCAAAGCTGCCTCTGACGACAGGCCTGGCGATCTACTTCCAAAGGTCAAAACCATGAAAATCCACTCCATACACAGGGAGTCAGAATTAATTCAGTGGCAAATAACAAGAACAGTTCATTTCACATGATTACAAATTGTGAAGTCTCAGAAAGCATTCCTTTTCTAAGAGTACTTCTGCTATCCCTATATTTTCTTTTTAAAAATGTTTAGCTGAGGAGATAAAGCAGACCTTAAACCAAAATGTTTCCTATTTATTGCCTTAGCATGATAGCTGAAATTCTTTGTGTGTGTGTGTGTGTAACTCCAACATGATAGTTAAATTTTTTTTAAACATTTTATTTCATAAGCAAACATTATCAATACCAATAATTTGAACATTAAATTCTGATATAAAATTATGCCCCAATCAACTACTGACAAGACAGGCAACTGGAAGAATGAAAGTACATGTTAAGAACAAGAAATTCAGGTAACACCCACCTCTTCCACAAGAGCCCGGTACTCGCAGTTACTGCAGATGCTCCCAGGAAAGCTGCCATCATTAGTCGTCTCCTAACCTGAGTGGACTGGGACCCTCCATGGTACCATCGAGAGCCCAGAGCCAGTTCCGCCAGTGTAGCAAGTGAATTAAGGCGAAACATCCTGTGGACAAAAAGTAGAGTGGTTACTCCAGGCTAGTGGTAGCGAGGGTGATGATAATGTATGTTATCATCAGCAATATCAATAAATATTGACTAAAGGGAGATCTGGTGGCCTAGTGGTAAGAAACTGCATGACAATCCCAGAGGTGTGTGGTTTGAATCCACCAGTTAGTTTGCTGGAGGACGGGCAATCTCCTCCCATGGAATTTATTGCTTTGAAAACCTGCTGAAGGGTCAGCTATGGTCAGTTTCAATTGAACAGCACACCAGACAGACACAAACACACACTGTGACAGACACTACAAACTTTGAACACATTGTCTCATCCCCATAGTACTAATTACAAATCTAATACTCTATTTAAGGATCAATTGAGAGGCAAGCCACATGGTAATCTGAACAGAAAAATTTTAATATTGAGAATTATGAACTGCAAGGTAAAGAGCTAAAACAGGGTGCAGTCACTACTTAAAGAGCTAATGCAGAGCAACAAGAAAGGGGCAAATCTGTGACAGGCCTACCTGTTTGTCAGTGCTGAGCTCTGAACAGATAGGTCCAGTAGACTTTGTTAGACCACTGTCCTCTGTGATGCTGAAGGAAGCTCTGTAGAGGAATGTGCTATTCTAGTGGCAACTGCTGAGAACGCAGCCCATTATGGTCACAGAAGAAGCCATCCAAGCAGAGTCCACAGATGGACCTCACTGGAAGTTGCATGGCGGAGTGCTACGGAAGGGTATCTTTGAGTGTCTCACACCATGCTGGCTCATGTGCAAAAGAACCACCAACTCCTAGGACAGAACAGGTGAGCCTGTGAATCATCACAGGATAACCTCATCTAATCCATCTATTTATTTTTTTGTTTTGTTTTGTTAGAATTTTATGTTATATCTGAATGAGGAAGATCTAGTACCAAAAAAATTTTTCCATATTTTCTCTGCCAATTTTTTACCAATTCATTTCTTTTTTCATTATCATTTTTCAATTCGTGAGAAAGTTTACAAACCATATCAGTTTTTCACTCACTCATTCATATACATGTTCTTTTATAACACTATAATTTTAATATTGAGAATTATGAACTGCAAGTCTTAAGAGATTAACTCTTAAGAGGTAAAGAGCTAAAACGGTGCAGTCACTACTTAAAGAGCTAATACAGAGCAACAAGAAAGGGGCAAATCTGTGACAGGCCTACCTGTTTGTCAGTGCTGAGCTCTAAACAATTCCATTTGATCATTCATACAAAACTTGTTTTATAACATTAGGTGATTTCTATAATTCACTAATTATAATGTCTGCTCAACTTCTTATTCTACATTGTCTTTCTTGTCACCTAACTTACCTACTTATTAATTTTTATTCCCATTTCCCTGTCTTCTAATCCCTGATAACCATCCAAGAATGAATCTGTATGGATCCCAACTGATTTTAAACTAACATTTTCTGAACTCACACAAGCATTCACATACACTGATTTCTGGCTACAGCAAAAATGAGTGCAAATGTTCTCTGGATCTCTTCCAGGGAAGGAGATCCATCCCTTTCTAATAAATCTATTATTGCTATTTTACCCTCCAAAACCCCCAAAAAGACCACATGGTAAAATATGCACATGCGAAACATATATTATTTATCACTGACAACAAGAGAGAACTAGAAATTTTCAGTGTGAAAAGCAGCATTTAAAACCTGGACAGGCCAAAGGAATATATGGCAGTTAGATAAGCTTAGGACATCTAATCAGATCTGAAGAATAGTTAGCTGGACAAATGATCAAGTGGATAATATATGGTCATTTGAAAAGGCTCTAAATTTTCATTTGGTCATATATACAACTAGAGGTGAGTGAAATACTTAAACAGGAAAAATAGCAACTATAAAAAGTGAGGAAACACTGTCTAAAGAACAGTAATTTACTTATAAGCAGTGTAGGCAGAGAGAATTGGAAGCAAAAAATACAGGAGTTACACGGAAAGTGCAAAGACCAGAAAAGCAGCAGCAAAATAATTCCAAAGACAAAATAACCTAACACAATTAATATATAGCTATATAAAGGAAAACAGAAATGTCAAAGATATTTCTAACAAAACCCAAAATGATATGGTAGCAACTGAAAAGGAACCCAATGCTTTATAATCTAATTTTAATACAGCTATTATTAGTTGTTGCAAAGCTAATCATCCTTTCTGAGTGGAAAATTTAATGACAGAATTGCCAGTTTAACCACAGAATTGCCAAGTTATGGTTTTGGGCTCCTTTCATCTCTTTAATACCCTCATATCTGACGTACCATCATATTGTTGTTAGGTGATGTGCAGGTAGTTTAAAAAAGGAACAGAATAAAGCATCATCCAGTCCGTGTCATTCTCATAATGCTGTTGTGCTGGATTCCATTTGCTGCAGCCAATGCATCAATCTATCTTATTGGAGGGCTTCTCATTTTCACTAATTCTCTACTTCATGGAGTATGCCTTTTCCCAGGAGCTAGTCCTTCCTGATAACGTGTCCAAAGTATGTGAGATAAAGTTCTGTTATCCTTGCTTCTAAGAAAGATTTTATTCATTATTTCTTTCAAGATAGATCCCCCCCCTGGCAGGATGTGATATATTCTTAATGTGATATAATTAATTTTAATGAATATTTACAGAGACTTTGGATTTCCATTCATTCATTGTTGCACTTTTCTCCCTGCCCAACCCTCCTCCCCAGTTCGCTCTTCTCTTTGAAAAGTAAAAGAAAAATTCTTTCATTGGCATACAATCCTATCTCCCTACCCCACCCCAGTACACTCCACTATGCAGTCTTCATTCTGGACTCTTGTCAAGACTGTAACACCCAATCATATCACTTTTAAACAGTTCTCTTCCCCATCTATTTCAATGCAGTATATATAATTCATTCAATCTTTCTGTCTCACCCCAACCCTGATGTCAGTCCCATTCTACAACCAGTGGCACTATGCAGTATTTGTCCTTTTGTGACTAAGATATTTCACTCAGCATAATGTCCTCCAGGATCACCCATTTTGACACAGGGCACAGGGCGTGGATCACTGATGCAGGGCATGGGGCGCTGATGCAAGGCGCAGGCTGCAGGCGAGGGACTGGGCATGGGACATGCACACAGACTCACGCTGTGTGGGTGCAGGGCATGCATGCAGATGCACACTGGGCCGGCATGGTTGCAGACTCTCACTGATTTGGCACGGGAGAAGACCTGACTCAAATTCCAGCTGTCAGGCCCATTTCCCTCGCTCTGATCCATCCTTGCTCCTGTCCATCCTCAATCTGGTCCATCCTCACTCCCGTCCATCCTCCCCTGTATCTCATTTTATCACTGATTTTAATCTCTATCTCTGAGATTTTCACCAAAACCTGAAATATTCATCTTCTCTAGTGCAACTTTCAAAGATGCCAAATAAAGACAAAAACAGAAAATCAACTGTCTGATTTAATCTCTATCTGTGTAGTAAAGTAGCAGTGACAATAATTGAATGTGTTAATTTTTTATGTTGTTGGTAGGTGCCATCAAGTAGAGTATGACTCACAGTTACCCTAAGAACAACCATTCTGAAACTTGCCCTATTCTGTGGCATCCTCATCATCACTGATACACTACAGCCCACTGCTAAAGTCACCGTGTCAATCCCTCTCATTAGGAGTCTTCCTCTCCTTGTGGACACTCTATCTTTCCAAGCATGATGCCCCTTTCCATGGAACAGCCTCACCTAGCTACATATCCAAAGTAGGAAAGACAAAAAGATGACCAGTGGCATGGGCGTGGGTCGCTGATGCAGTTCCTGGTCATCTTTGCTTCATCCTTTTCAGGGTACATCAGTTTGGTTTTTTGGGTAGTCCATGTGATATTCAGTCCTTTTCTCCAGCACCACAACTCTTCTTCTGTCATCCTTATTCATTGTCATGCTCTCTGATGAATTCAGATGGTCTCTGATTCATTCAGGACTTTGGATAGATCCCTGACAGCAGCCTTTCCTAATACTGTATGTCTCCTGATCTCCTGACTGCCAGGAGATCAGAAAACACAAAGCACTGGAAAAGTCTGTTGTCAGGAACCTCTCCAAAGTACTGAAGAGCAAAGATATCTGTTAAAGACTAGAGTGCACCTGACCTAAGATTTCTTTTGCACCTCAACTTCTTACTAATAATAGGCTGGCCACCAGAGCTCCCTGATCCAAGTTTTAGTATTACTTGCTATTCATCTGAAGGCTGAACGATGAATAAGGATGACAGAAGAATCAATGTCTGTGAGTTGTGGTGCATATAGGCATTTTTCATTAACATTAAAGATAAAATATATTCACTCTAAGATTATTTAAAATATATATGCATGAGTTTTTCAATTCATAAAGAAAATCTGGATGATGCAAATAAAATTTATTGTCAGAAAATGATTTAACTTTTTCCAAATAAATAAAAATGAAGACAAGTTCCCCCAACAACCTGTGGTTGAGACCTAATCAGGTCTGTTATCTGAATAATGTCTCATAACTGAGTTGGTAAAGAAGCCAGAAGTGCCCCAAGAACAAGCTAACTTGTCCTGCAGTGTGTAGCCAGTGTGCTCCTCAGAAGAAAGGGCCATAGCACTTAAGTCTCCATACTCCAGATATGTTATCAGGAGGGTCTAGTCTCTGGAGGACATCGTCCTTGAAAAAGATCTTTACTTTGAAAATAAGGCTGCTGTCTGGGAGCTAAACTGCAAAGTAAGTGTTATCCAGGTTCCTCCAGTCCAAGGTCTCAACCCACTCATCCAAGTGGTAACTGCATACTAATCACAGAAATGGATTCAATAGCCATTAGACCCAACAGCTAATGGGTTTCTGATTGATAGTCAATTCTTTTTAATTTTATTTTCATGCTCACAAAACAGACATAACTTGGCTTCCTACATATTGCCTTAAAAGAAGACAGTAACTGATTAAAATGTAGAAATATTTAAATCTCATGTAGTTCAACTTTTCATGATAACTTTTCAATCTGGCCACT